ACGGTGAGGAAAAGAAGAAGACTGTGTGATCACAGCAGTCTGATATCGATTTTCCCTCCTTTCTTTCTTCACGTTTATTCAGATTTATCCACTTTTTAACTCCTTTTCTTCTAAACTTTTCTTAGGTTTCCTTGCTGCTCCACCCACCAAGTGGGCGGCGCCTTAAGTTGTATGTATAGAGCTGGAGTTGAGCCCCCTCGCTAGAAGCAGCATATGGATTGTCTGATCTTCATCCTAGATATAAAGGTTATAAAGATGTATTCTTTTTCTTCTTCTCTCTTGTTCTCCTGATTAAAGAACTCTTCTTATAGGAGTATATATAGCAGTCTTGTCGCCGCCCTATATATTCAAGTCGTAGTACAGAGTGCATATATATGTATGCAGCAGCAGCAGCAGCAGCTAAAGCTGCCTAGACACCTCAACGCAACCGCCTTAAAAACACCACCTACACCCCTCCTCTTCCCCTTTTTTCTAGGGTTTAGGGTTTAGGGTTTAGGGTTTAGTGGAAGAAATGGACTTGTGCTCCTTCTGCTGTACGGACGAAGCGGACGTGGGGGTCGCCCCTTATGACCGCATCGCCGCACACATTGGCCTCTCTGGTACTTCTTTCCCTCCTCAAATAACTCCCCTTGGAGCAGCAACAGTAGCAGCAACAGCAACAGCAGCAGCAACAGCAGGTGCAGTAGCTCTTGGTTGTGCTGCACTAAAAAGGAGGCGTATCCGTCTACAGGAAGCAAACCCTTGCAACATATAATGCAACAAACCCTTGCAACATATAATAATTTAGATGTCTTCTTTATAATGTGCTGCTGCAATTGATGCTGCTGCTGCTGCTGCTGCTGTTTGCAGATGATGATTTGCTTGACTTCGAGAGCGACAACGAAGATGCACCAAGTTTAGTTAACGGTAAGAAATACTATTTATTTCTTGTTGTCTTTGCCCCTTAGGGTGTATGTATACTGCTGCTGCTGCTGCTGTTGCTGTTGCTGCTGCTGCTGCTGTCGCTTATTCCGCGTGGACACTGTGTATTTTCTTGGGTTGCTGCAGCAGCAGCAGCAGCAGGAAAGCCTGCAGCAGCAGGAAGCGAATCACCAAAGAGAAGAAATCATAAACCACCAAAGTTTAAGAATAGAGTTTCCTCTGAGGTGTACAGACTGGAGGAATCGGTACGGAGATCAAGAGAGCAGCAGCAGCTGCAGCAGCAGCTGCTGCAGCAGAATCGTGGCTCCCTCTCTCGTAGCTTTGGCAGCAGCAGCAGCAAAGGATCCCGCAGCAGCGGATCCCTTCATCGATCCCCTATAGATACAGATAGATATTCTGCTGCACCTGCTGCACCTGCTGCAGCAACTGCAGCAAATGCAGCAGCAATCAGCAGCAGGACAACCTCTCAGGAGCCGCTGCTGCGGCGCGGCTCCTCTCGTCGTCGTCTTCCTGCTACTAACGAAGAAAAGGAAGAAAAAAAAAATACAAATAAAGGAGGAAAAGAAGAAATAAGACAACAAAACAGCAAAACAAATATACAAGATAAAAATACACAAAGAAGATATTCAGGTGTACGCAGACTTAGCGATATGACTGCAGCAGAAAAGGTAAATTAATACACACACACACACACACACTCTCTCTATAGTTAGCTAGCTAGCTAGCTAGCTAGCTAACTAGCTAGCTAGGTGGATCAGGAGGGTTTATATAGCTAGCTAGCTGGTTAACTAGGGTTCAGCTAGCTAGACAGCTAGTTAGGGTTTAGCTAGCTAGAGAGCTATCTAGGGTTTATCTAACCAGCTAAGAAGCAAGAGCATAGCTAGCTATCCATCTAGCTAGCTAGCTAGCTATCTATCTATCTATATATATATTCCTTAGCTAGCCAAGGATTATATTATATGTATATATTATTATATTAGGCAATGGAGAAGGAGAGGCTGCAGACATTAGTCAAAGAATTCGCCAAAGAAGCGGTGGCGGGATTCGATGTTACTCTACTTGACCTCACTAGAGGTATGCTCCTGCTGCTGCTGCTGCTGCTGCTTTTGCTGCTGCTGCTGCTGCTGTTGTTGTTGTTGTTGTTGTTGTTGTTGCTGCTGCTTCGGTAGATGTTGCTGCTGTTTCTGAGTATGTTTTTGTTGATGATGATGTGCATGCTGTTGTTACTGCTGCTGCTGTTGGTCTTGCTACTGTTGTTGCTGCTGCTGCTCATTCTGTTGCTGCTGCTGCTGCTGTTGCTGCTTTTGCTGCTGCAGATAGACGGGCTGCAGCAACGTTTTCGATGGACAGACATCTACTCGTAAAACATCATCTTCTTTTATTAATTAACTAATTAATTAATTAATTAATTAATTAATTAATTAATTAATTTGTTTATTTATTTATTTTGCCTTTTGTTTGTCTACGTTATGCCTTATTCATAAACATGTACATAAAAATAATATAAATATAATTATATACAATTATATAGTAATAATAATATAACCCTAACCCTAAACATAATAAACAAATATAGATATAAATATAAATATAAATAAATATAAATATATATATGTGCATATATATGTATACAGAAAATAAGCCTAATATCTAGGGAGGAAGAAGAAATACGTTCTTCTTCTTTTGGTGTATTAAGTCTTACTGGTGCATATAAAGGAGAAGAATATTATAAAGAAGAACATTTCTATTCTTCTTCTTCTTCCTCTTCTTATGATCTTACATCTACTGTTGGTTAGTTATATATATATATTATTTATATTCTCTCCTTCTTTCTCTCTCTTTTTCTCTCTCTTTTTCTCTCTGTCTCTCTATATTTATATATCTATCTCTTTATCTGTCTTTTTTTCTGTCTTTTTTTCTGTCTTTTTTTCTTTCTCTCTTTTTTCTTATGAATAGTCTGATGCTATCCAGCCCTACAACATTCCCTATGCATGCATGTGTATATTTATATATAATTATAAATATATTATGTATTATATTTGTTCTTTTTTTTTTCTTTATAGTATTAACAACAAGAGAAGAAGATTGTTCTCGTGTTGTTATTGACTTTGGTAACAAACAAGAAAGAGATAAGGCATATACTTGTCTAAAGATACTCAGGTAAGAATATTCTCTATTATTATTTATATTTATTTAATTATATAT